CCTCTCTCTCTCTCTCTCTCTCTTTCCTCCTCTATTATTATCTCTTGTTTTCTTCTTTCTTCTGCACCTCTCTCTCTCTCTCTCTCTCTCTCTCTCTCACCCTCTCCAATCTGCTCTTTGAACTATTCATTATTGCTTACCGCTCGTATTGACCTCACAGACCTGGTTCCAATAATAGCTCTACGGGTCATCTGGGTCAAGGTGTGTCCATAGACTTTACCTACTTTGCTGTGTCGGGTCGATGAGTGACCTGTGGCAGGAACCACAACTCTCGACAAACTTTCAGTATTTCAAAATGGCGACCTCCAGAGGCAGCTGTCTTGTTGTGATTAGCTCGGCTGTCGAAGGTTGGATAAATGTTAATGATCATGAGCCACCTTGCCGTTTTCTCTCCGAGCCTTTTGTTTTTATCACTTTTTCACAAAATACCCTGATTTGATCAGTTCAGGGTTAAACTAGATCTACTTTTAGAATAAACTGATTGTTGCGCGCGGGTTGAAACAATCTGGGTGCAGTGAAAATAAAAAAGTGGGCGTGGTTGATTGACGGTTTCAGAGAGTTGACGATGGTGAACGTCATACAAGTCAAGTATGACAAAGTCTGTAGTCATGGCATAACACAGTCTTAGCCCTCTAGAACTCCGGAAAGAATTTTCTAGATTTTCGGCTGACTGATGTATAGATCTATGAATGACAATCCATTGATCAGAGATGTGATGTAGGCCTATAATATACTCTATTATCTATACTATACTGTAAACTTTTACTTTTAGAAGCCAAACTTTTAGCCTAGGCTACTTACTTTTTGGGGGGTTTTGTGTGGTGTTTGTGTGTGTGTGTGTGTGTGTAGACTATGGCATGACTAAGAACACTAAATACTTAATGAAACAGATACACTGACTGAATTCCTAGGTTACTCTGGTGATGTAGAAAGTAGCAGAGTAAATCGCAAAACATAAAAAAAATCCCACTACTACTAGTACTACCTTTTCAAGTTTTTGTCTTCTAATGTTGGACTTATATATATTTTCTTCAATGCTTTTCTTCACCAGGTGTTTCTGCAGCGTCGTTTATGCAGGCATGCACCCTCATTAACCAGACTTTTGCTATACAGCTGGCATCTCCCGGTGTGAGTGGACTATTGGCCTACGGTTTATTGTGTTGTGACTGTCATCTAATATTATTGGAGTACTGTCGAAATTGTCCAAGATGGCCACCCATGTATAGTCATCATTAAGAAAAATACAGTATGACTCAGATAGCTTTAATTTATCGGGACCGTCCTCGGTAGTTCGATTGTTCCGTAGTTCGAGGGATATCTTACAAAGATAAAGAAGAAGAAACAATGGGACTGCAGGCACAGTTGGGCGGATGCGGGATTTTGAATCTTCTGTGTTCGACCTCTCCATGTTATACTATATTTATCTTAGACAAGTGGATGTCTTGGACAATGACAGTGTCATTATAAAATAGAAAAAAAAAAAACACATATAGGGGGAAAATGGGAAGTTGATGATTGTACGGGTGATTGTTTTGGACAGTTGGCTGTTACACCAGGTTCGATTGTAGGCCTATAATCTTTTATGTCATTTAAAGTTCTTTAATTGTATTACTATGGTCCCTGTGAAATTTTTAATGATAATAATTTAAAAATTACATTTATATAGCATATATCCACACTCTGCAGCATGCTCTTTGAGTTTGTTACCACTATTATTACCCCAGCAAACCCTAGAGCTAGTAGAACATCCAGAAACATTCTCAGCATCTCGGGAAGCAGACGCTGCAGGCAGCCGATTATTAAGCTGACATGAATTCAATTCTGTAAAATGAGAGAATGTAAGTGTATGGTATACAAAACACTGACACAGTTATGAGTTTGTTACTGTGGGAACGCCATGTTAACTTTTTACCGAAAGGTTATGGGATCAAACCTCTCTTTGGGGAAAGCACTTTTACTTTTCATGATTTTCCTCACTTCTCCCAGGTGGGAACAGGTACCCTTGCTATAGGTGACTAAAATTCTTGTTGATTTGTTTGTGTTTTAGTGCTTAATTGGTTGCTATATATATAAATGTATATGTCGAACCTGCGTATGTCATCTTGAGTGACTGAGGTAGGTTCGATTTTACATCATCTAGGCTTAGCAAATTCACAGAGTCAATCAAATTTGATTTCAGGGTCGTCAAGCAGAGTATGTGAACCAGGATGATTCTAACCGGCGCTGGTTCAACGAATTTCGCTCCAAGGCAAGTTCCACTCCCATTGGTCTAGAGACAGTGGACGGTGAGTTGACCAGCGGTGCTAAACGTTATGTTATTTATCTGTTTTTCGTTGCAGCATTTTTTTATCCAGTAAAGTGTTAACAGCCATTTTCACTCTCAGACAGAGGCATCTGTTTTAGTTTTCTAGAAATCAGGAAATAAGAATCAGTGTTTGTGTACTCAGCATAAGCGAACAAAAAACTTTTTCTTTACTTGATACTATAAACCACTCAAAAACTTTGTTTGAAACGAAAGGGTCATTTCCTCCTCTGTGAAGTTGACGGGTTTTACTGGCAGATGATAATAATAAAAACGATAATAAAAATAGTAATAATATTTTATTAAACTGTCACATGAT